TTCTTCCACAGTAGCCTACACAACATTTGATATTCATGATCAGAAATCAGTTGAAAAAAAAAAGGTAAAACAAGAAATTCAATGCTGTTTTGAGAGTTAATAGACTACAACACAAAAGCCTATTAGTGTATATGTTATATATTTATATATTTTAAACAATTATATATTTATACAAATATATCAGTTGTCATTAAATTGGCCCTATGAGGCTCATGTTTAGAGGGTTACCTGTTGTCACCTTACGCTTACCTGAACATTCCTCTTTTCCTTTTTCTTTGTCTCCATTTTACCAAAGCAAAATTTTTGCCTTTCCTCTGCCTTTTTCTTCCTGTATTCCTGGAAGGTTTTTATCAATGGGGTTGGATTTGATGGAGGATTCTGTGATACTACAGGGAAGCAAACGAAAAATGCGTTCTTATTACAGGTGCATAAATACAACAATAGTGGTATAAACAAAATGCATGGCTAGACTACACAGGGATTTCCCCTATAATTGTTTTCAGGACTGGTGGGAGACATGGGCTGTTTTCAAACACAAACTCCTGGCTTGTGTTTACCTGGTTACAAAACAAAGTTCACACAGGTTTCGGACATCCAGGCTTACTAACTAATGTTAGCTGGCAGAGTAAGGACCGAGTAGACATAACGTTACTTGAAATTCCCAAACTCCAAGTACAACTGGAGCGCAACATGGCGAATTTGGCTGCCAGCGTAGCAGTACAGTACATTTTCAGTACAAATGTAATGACATTATACCATTTTAACACATCTAAAAACAACATGTAATGCCATTCCCACTACCTTCGCTCCAAGCTCCCTGTTGCTTGGCTCTCTTTTGTCTCGTTTTTTTTTTTTTTTTTAATAGCAAGCCTAACCTTACTTTACTACTTCTACAGTTATCAAACAGAGAGAAATGTCCTACCTTCCCCCTAGAAACGTCGTTGTACTCTACAATACTCTATATTGCCGGCTATACACCAATAAAGGGCCAGAGTATATCGTTTTCAACATTTTTCTTCATTTTTTTCGGAACCATGTAGCCTGCGGACTAGCAGGTCTGAGAAACCCATTCACTGCTCAATTAGCAACAATTAACATTACATTTGTTAACTTACCTGAAGGCAGTCCGTTGGTGGGTTCAACGACAAGCACCTCATGAAGCCCCTTGCCACAACCACAGCAAAAGTTAGGTCGTTCGAAGTCTTCAGGGACCTTTTTGCCACAATAAGGGCAATACATCTTTGTCACTCTTCTAAATGAAGTCCGCCCGAGCCGTAAACTACCTGGTATGGCGTAAAGCTGCCTTAAAAATACCTGTTAAACAAATGGACGTGCTTTCGTCCAATCACCAATGATCCTTGTCATAGCAGGTACTACCCTTTCCGTTAGTAGTTAATGTCGTTGTGTTTTTGTTAATGTCGTTGTGTTTTTGTTAATGTCGTGTTTTCCTTTTTGTTGTTGTGTTTCTGTTAATGTCGTTGTGTTTTCCTTTTTGTTGTTGTGTTTTTTAATGTCGTTGTGTTTTCCTTTTTGTTGTTGCGTTTTTGTTAATGTCGTTGTGTTTTCCTTTTTGTTGGTGTCGTTTGCCCTTCAGCGCCACCGTACTTCTAGTTACTATAGCTTAGCAATTAGCACTAGCTTCTCTCTCTCTCCCCCTCTGTCTCGCTTACTCGGTGTGGTGTTGATGTAACTGCATTAGTCACACACACACACTCACTCCCCCCCCCCCCCCCCCCACACACACACACACACACACACACACACACACACTATTAATGCAGTATCTGGGGAGAAATGGACAAGGCTGATTCTTGTTGTCTAACTAGACTCTTTAACCAATTAATTGGTTGATTTCCTTGCTGTTCTCACCTGGTAACTGATATATCAGGTAACCTAAAGATGTTCTTTCATTTTATAGTTTTATCAATTATTATTATTATTATTATTGTTATTATTATTATTATTATTATCACCCTATAATGTTTTATCCCTCTCTCTTTATCCCTCTTTTTAAAAGTAACGCAGTAACACTTTTACTCAGAAACATTTTAACTGATTTACTTTGTTCTTTTATCTGAGAAAATTTTTACACAGCGATTTATTTCTACTGATGTCTTTTCACTAATAGTAGTGACGCTGTTCACATGTTGACCTGCTGACATCAGTTTGGTGTCCCATTTGAGTTTCTGTTATTGGTAGAGCATATTGTTGCTCTGTCTGAACACAGTTAATGTTGCTGTTTTCTTTTGTGCTTTTATCACAGTTTAACCCTCCTGTTATGTTCGTTTCTAAGGAACAGCAATGATGTTCCTGGGTCAATTTGACCCGGGGCATGTTTAATTATCCAAAAGTGTCAGAAACCAAAAAATCCCAATAAACATTGTTTATATCTCATTATTAACTGCATTACTAACCATTTCAATCAATATTTAGTGTAATGGTGTTCTTTACCTCTCAGATCATGGTTCAATGAGGATAATTCTCAAATTTTTCATTAAAAAATGCATGTTAAAACTTTTTTTAATGTACTTTGGAAAGACCTACATATAAAATACAAGACTTTTACATGACATTAATTTTTTTTAAATTTTATTTTACATTTTGAATTTTTTTTATGGAGTGATGTTGATAAATTAACACGAGACACCTCTTCTGTTCATCCAGTGTGACATTAGGGCCTGGGTTATAGAATAGTGGAAGTTCGCTACCCACTTGTCCTACACTGTCTCCGGAGACATTGTGGCAAGAAATATAGCCCTGCCTGTCTCTGCATCCCACAGACTGGCTGTTAATTCATCCTTTGACTTATAGACCCCAGCCAGGATGAGGACCCCCAGATATGCATGTAAATGCATTTTATCCTGCTCCTTCCACTTCTCCCATAAAACACACCTTCCTTCTAGATTAGCCATTTCGATAATGATTTTCTGTATTGAGTTGGGCATGACAAGCTCAAAAGCTGATTTGATGTCTGTCACACGAGTCACTGCCATCCTAGTGGGCCCTGGCACTGTCTTTATTATACTTTCTGCAGACAGTTTTGCCTGAAGTATATTTGGGGATTAAGACCACTGTATTTCACCATTTTTTGATGTGAATGTCTTGTTTGGAGGAATATGAATAGCAGTTTCCTCATTTGGTTCATAATCAGAATCATCAGACTCAGAATTGACCTCAAGACGGTCTTCATCTCCAGACACATCCACCTCTATTTCACTGTCATGATCAAAGATGAGTTCCAGAGCGTGTAATGTTGGTAGGACACCCTTGCAGAGAATCTTTATATGTTTTGCACCTCCCCTGCTGAGTGTCCACTCAATGTGGGTGGGGTTTGCCCACAGGAATAGAAAAGGTTCCCGTCAAAAGTCATAACAACACCTGCATTCTCGCACTTTACAGATGAGGTCAAGAGAATAGGGAGAGGGTGTGTGTGTGTGTGTGTGTGTGTGTGTGTGTGTGTGTGTGATTGGGGTGAAATATGTCTCACAGTTGCAAAGAATCAAATAGTATTTGACACTTTTGACCCCTTTTAGCTTCCACTTTGACTGCCGGGTCAAATTAACCCGAACAGTATCTATGTAATATAAACATGCAGGGGGGGTTGCAAATATTCGAAATGAACCATTTTAATTTTACATGTTGATTACACTTATTAAGCCAAGCAGAAGAAGTTTCATACCCAAAAAATACTTTTAACTATTTTTTTTAGATTTTTTAATTTTAAAATGGGTCAATTTGACCTGGAACATAACAGGAGGGTTAACTACCTGCTGTACATTTAAACTTAAACGCGTTGTGCTCGAAAATACACACACGCACAATCAAACATTTTTTGATATTCACCTTCAAAATAAGAGTCTCAACCAGGTAAAAAGAACTTACTGGAGGTTCTGTTGGGCAGCTCTACTGCTACAAACACACACACACACACACACACACACACACACACACACACATATATACACAGTATATTGACAGAAACACAAAAAACACCATCTCGAAGAATGGGATTAACCTTCAAAATAAAAGTCTCAACATGGTTAGAGGGAAGTATTGGCTCTGTTGTACAAAACCTTATGCACTTTATACTGTCAAACACAGAAGCACAGACACAAAATTAGAGTCTCAAAAAGGTAAGAGGTAAGGTAGGTTATAAAAGTTTGATCTTAGAAGCTAATGTCTATATGGGGATTTAGTGGTATAGCTTTATTGCAGATCAACTTCTGTTAGGGCATGTACATGTGTATATATATGTCTTGCTATGGTTATGGGGACGAATTTGGTTTTGAAACCATCAGTGTGACGTTATTTTGGCTGGTCTTGACAACTTCAAAAGGCTTTTTGAGGGACAACTGCAGTGACTGAGGTTAGTGTCAGGATAAGTCTCTACAACTTGAATGAAACTCAAAGTAACGTCCTTTGTACGGATTGAAATGAGAGGACTAAAGTACACTTCACTTTTGAAAAGCCGGTACCAGTGAATGTTTGGGATTTTTCCCTAAATAAAATGGCTTAAACAATTAATAAACAATTCTAATTTATGCAAATTAATTTTCTGCCAATCGACTAACTGATTACTGCTTCATTTCCAGAGTACTGGTTGGTCTCTGGGTAGCTGAAAAGTTATGAAATGTTCCATGTATGGTCAATAGGGGACCAACAACATATTTATGCTTCGAGTCCACTCGAGAAGTTAATGTGAAGTTAATCTGGCCACACAGACACATATACATGGCTGATCTGGTGCTGCCTGTGGAATGTGACCGTTGGACAGACACTCACCAGTTCAGCCAAAAACATGCACAGCAGTAAAATTAGGCCTGTTTGCACGCGTAAACACAAGTGACAGATTTTGGTGTTTAATGTGCTATCACTTCAAAAACACCACTGTGACTTGATGTGTTCATATGTCCAATCATGTCCTCACAATGAGTGCACATTGCAGTTGGTCAACTTACACCTGTGAACAGTTTCGAAACACACTAGCAACTTTGTCTCACCTGTCTGCGTCCAAGCTGTGGAACAGTCACATTTGAGCAGAGTCTGAGGACTGACGGACCTCCGAACTCACTCACACTGATGGCTCTCATCAGCCTGCAGCCCGACATGTCTGCTAAAGATGAACCGATTGATTCACAAATTTAAAATCGGATGTCCTTTTTAAACACTCTCCGAGAACCGTGAACACAAGCAAGCGAAGCCACAGGGTTTTTTTCACTGCAATACCGCGAGTGGCCACTAGGAAAGATGGCTGCAAGGCTGAACGGCGGTACCGTGTCCAGCTCTCTGTAGACGCGCTCTGATCCAAACTTCATTAATATGTTGAAACATTTATTCCGGTCTTGACGATGTCGCCAAAGATCTTTTCCCGAATAAATCGATTATGTATTATGTTGGAGTTTGACTACTTTGGTCCAAACATGACGACACATCCGTTTACGTATCACCGACCCCCACATGAATGGCTGAGCATTGACTTAATGTGCAGTGCTATAGAAAAGCCCATCCACATGAGCAGAGATTAGTGACAGCCCGTCTGGACGACTGAAAATGCGGAACCAAGACCAGATGAAGTGACAGCGGAGGCTTCTTATCCAACGCACATCTTGGCCCGGTCTGTACGTCCATGCTCTGTAACTCATGTTGAAAAATGCTGGACACAATGTACAGGATTCCTGTCAGTAAAACAGCCAGACACACTGAGCGTACACCCTGGTGACTGTGGCAGCTGTTAACCACGTTACATCAACCCGGTGTCTCACTTTGTGTGACAATGGCGACCAAAAGCAGGTTTGTTCTGCACAGAGTGTTCAGTGGACTAAGAGCTCTCACTGTTCGGTTTAGGAGCTCAGCTTTGACCTCAAGACAAGGACGCGTCCTGTGGAGAGCGGATCTCAGACACCTGAGCTGCTCATACACACTCTACCAGCCTGACGCTCCCGCCACAGGTATCTCACTGAGTGGTTGATCATCAAAGTGCTTTAGCTTACCGTTATCAATGGACTAGTTGATTTTAGTTGTTTTTTTAGGATAGTGACTCGCATTAAGAGTTCTTCAAGTGCACCAGTAAAGTGAGGACTGCATGGTATTTGTTTTAGTGCATTCACATGATACTCAGAAGGTTACAGTTAACAGAGCTACAACTGCTCCAGGATATTCATGAAAATGTATACACTGTATTCATATGCTGGAAAATTCATGATAAAGTTTATACAATTTATTTGTGTTTATGTAGATTTAAAATGTGGAATTTCAGTTTGATTTCAAATAAAATCAGAAAATGTTTGTCTTCATTGACAACAGGTCTTTAGGTCATTAAAATAGATAATTACAGAGTTTTTGCTATTGAGTGGGAGAATGTTTTTTTTCTTAAGTGCGAATGATACATTTCATTACAACCATGGTTACATTATATATTCATAATCTAAATTCTCAAATTGTGAGTTGTTTTTTAGTACTCTTGCCAGTGAAATAAAAGCATATATTTCTAACAGCGAAACAGAAAAATGAAATGTATCATGTCTATGTCATTGGTGTTTAATGTAATCGTTGCCTATCGATGTCTTTTGTGTAGCTGACTTTACCTGGTCTCAAAGTCTCCTTGTTTACTTGTATAAATTTAATTCGCTAGTGCTTTACCTTGGTATTTATACTATATGTTGTCATACACTAAAATGTTCGTATTCTGGCTCTCTGCAATTTTAAACTAATCTAACTCTGTTATTTTGTTATCAGGTCCCAGCAGTTTGTCATTCAGGAGTCACACTTGTGGAGAGCTGAGGTCACATCATGTAGGAGACACGGTCACTCTGTGTGGTTGGGTCCAGTACCTCAGGTATTACTCTGTTGCTCCTGTTTACACAATTACATATACATCAAAACATGTTTTTAAAGCTATGTAAGATATTGCCGTTTAACAGTGGCTATGTTGGAGTTAAAAGGTAACAGGATTAAGACTCTGCAGCTAGCTAGCGGCTCTGTGAGGCTTTACTTACAACAGGCACAGTGACACTTTGAGCTAAATGCTAACCTTACTATGCTAACAGTGAAGTTTACCGTATTTGCTATTTTATTTTAGCATGTTTGCATGTTAACATATCCTAATAAGCACTAAACACAAATTACAGCTATGGCTGATGGGAATGTTTTTAGTTTTGCAGACAAAGTATTGGACAAATTATAATTCTGACCAGAAGATGACATTAGATGGAAAGTCAGTGGATCACCAAAGTTATTATAATTCATTCCATTAATGTATAATGTCTTCATAGCAATACATCCGGTAATTGTCACAAAGTATTACTCAAAGCCAAAAATGCCAACTTCATTGTGGCACCAGAGGAAAAGTCAGAGGATCACCAAAGTCATCAGGATTCATCATCTGGGAACCATGAATGTCTGTTCAAAATTTCATCACCAGTAGTTGTTGGGATATTTCAGTCTGGACCAACTGACAGACTGGCATTGCCATCCCCAGAGCTATGCCACTAGCATGGCTAAAAGTGTGAACTTCACTGCCTCTTACGTGTGATGTTAGTAAACTGTAATTGGCACATTCATATTTAATCATTATTTATTAACTCAGCTCATGTTTTCTTGGACACTCACACTCACATTCACTGTGTGATTAGAAGAGTGAATCTTTAGTTACAAACTTTTCACTTTTGGCTCAAGCACTATCAGTGTTGCTTGTTTAACTCCCTCATGCAAAGTTGTGTTTAAACAATTTGTTTCTGCCTCCAACAGACAAGACCTGTTTGTCATCTTGCGAGATTTCAGTGGCTTCACACAAATTTTAATTCCTCAAGAAGAAGTAAGGATGAAAACAGCTAAACAACACAAGATAGTCTCTGTATTTTATTTATTATAATAATAATAATAAACAAGAAAGTAAGATGAAGGTATGCTATGAATCAGAAACTGTACCTTTTCTTTCTCTGTTTAAGTCTGCAAGTAATTTGAAAGCAGCGCTGTGTGACCTCACAGCTGAGTCTGTCATCAAGGTTACAGGAACTGTCAGACGACGACCAGCAAGACAGGAGAACAAGGTGTGTGTGTTTGTGCATAATATTAGACAATGACTGGCAGATACTTTTATTCATATGAGGACATTCAGCTCTACTGGACCATAGAAAGACACCCTTTTCTTGAAATAAGGAGGAATGTGTTGAATGTTCATTTGTGGCTTGCATCTTCAGAGGTTTTAAAAGTCTGTCACTGTAGGTCTCTCTTCAGACAAAACTAAGACAACAGTACCACCAACACCATTCTCTATTCTATGAGGAATGGATTTTATGTCTCCTATTATTATTTTTAGTTTTACTTCTGTTGTGTGGTTAATCATCCCTGAACATCTCTTTTCTATGATTTCTAATTTGATTTATGGATGTTTATTGGTGATGGACATTAGATGATGATATCGTAAGTCACACTGGATCTAAAAATATGTGTATCATGATCAGATTTCAATAAGTTATGGCTCTGAGAAGGAGAGTGAATTCTGAGGCAACATGGGGCCACTGGGCACTAACTGCTCCCATGAGCTGTGTCACAGTCACTGCTGCAGCTCCAACTGATGATTGTGTTGATGAGAGAGCCAAATCATTGAGACAAACTACAATAACTACTGTAACAATTCCTGTTGTTTTTAGAACACCAGCCTGCACCTGTCCCTTTCACCTTGTACAGTATCTTTGGCTCACATCTTGTGATGCACGCCTCATAGTTAGCCTCTGTCGTTAGCAGAGCAAATATTTAAACAATTCATTTATCATTCAGAGTACTTTGTCTTCTCATTCTGCTGTGTACATGCCAACAGGGGATGCCAACAGGAGAAATAGAAGTACTTGCTGAGGACGTGGAGGTTTTCAATGTGTCCCGCATATTACCTTTTGAGATTAAAGACTTTGTCAAAGTAAGTGATTTATCTTACATGCTTGTGCACCATTTTACAATTGCTCTGAGCAGGTTATATGATTTGTTATTGTTAATAATCATGATCAGTTTTGTTTTTGTTCCGTGTTTGTTTGTCTTTTTGATTATACAGAAATCCGAGTCTTTGCGGATGCAGTATCGCTACCTGGACCTGAGATCCTCACAGATGCAGAAGAACCTCAGACTAAGATCTGAGCTGGTGATGAAGATGAGAGAATACCTCTGTAATGTACACGGTATGGAGAGAGGGATTCATTTTGTCTGTCTTTTTAATGGTAATGACTGCCTGTCACTGGGGATTGTGGTAACGTAGGACACAGAGGAAACCCATACAAACACTACAAAAATAGACACTAGGGGCCTCATGTACAAAGCCCTGGAACAAATGGATGGATGGAACACAATTCTTCCAAAAGATATTCCCTCATTTGGTGTTTTGATGATGGCGTTGGAGAGCAGTCGGTCCAATATCTCCCATAGCTGTTCAACTGGACTAAGATCTGCTGACTGTGAAGGCATATGATTCATGTCATTTTCATACCATTCAATGACTCCACGTGTTCTATACATGGCGATATTGTCATCCTGTGTCTCCACTAATTTTCAGATTTGTCCTTTTAATTTGTCACTGTCTGTACCTACAGATTGAATCATTAGTTTATAAACAGAAGCAAATGATTCACATGGACAGAGGCTTGTCAGAAAGCACTGATTCTCTAGTTTTACAGGAAAAAAAATGCATGTCTCTTAAACCAGTGAGGAGAAAAGACACTCTAAATACAACATGATATTTGGGGGCGTACATGCTCCCGTGGGCCTCAGAGGGGTTTTTAACTTTGAAGTAGATTTTTGAATTTATTGAACTTATGAATTAAATGCTTACCAAGAAGCCTCCCATCGCACGCCCTGCCAGCCTGTAGTCTGTTCCCAACCACCATACTGTTTGTAAGGATAAATGAATCCTTGGTTGATCTAAGCCACCTTGCCACAATATTAATCACACATGTGCATCACATATTATTTACACATTGATGAAATGAAAATGCTCTCTCTTAACAAAGGCAAATTCATCCTGTGATGGTGCCTTTTTATCAACGTATGTGTAGTTGAGTAATCATTTTCACATGTGTCAGACGGACTCGTAAACCAGTTCCTAGCTGTTTTGTTGCCGTGAATGTGACAGATGGCGCACACAGGGTTTTTGTGCATGAGCAACGTTTGCACATGAGGCCCCAGGAACAGAATCCAGTCCATTCTTGCTGTATTATCTGATTGTCACGTGTGTGTTTTCTTCTGATTTGCAGGTTTTGTTGATGTGGAAACTCCTACTTTGTTCAAAAGAACACCAGGGGTAAGAAGGTCACTTTTACTACATGTTGCAATGGAAACATACAAAGAATGGAAGAATTTATCTTCAAG